TCGTTGAATCGTAGAGGTAGGCCGACATGAGATCCATGTTCCCCGATCTTGAAGCTCCGGTTCTAGCCATGCCCGGCTCTTTGATGGCAACCAGACTGAAATATCTGGGCTCACTGCACCAGACCAAAGAACGACTAGTTGTTGCGCATACACGCATCATGATGCAGTGGGTAGAATGGAAAGCTCGTACATGAACAGTGGAAATAAGATGCTTACGTTGTTGTAACTACGACAAGAACGTAGTTGTAATCAAGGATTGAGGCGCCCTCAAACCCAGTGAAGAGCACATGTTGAGTAGCCGCCATGAGATATGCTCCCGTGTCCAGCGCAAGCCATGTCTGGCCGATTGTGGTCATCACGCGCCTTTTGCTCAACAGACTGCAATGGAAAAAAAACAAAAAGCACGTGTTAGGCCATATGAAGTAAATCCAATACCGGTGGAGAGATAAAACACATAGCATATCTCACATGTTGTGGAAATGGATCAACGTCGAGAAACCGTCTTGAATGCGCATCGCGTCGACTACGCTGATAAAGGTGTTCTAATGCAGGGAGCTGAACAAGGGTTTCGTAGGGAAATGAGGACTTTTGATGTTTGGGCTGCATGAACCTGTAGTAGGCGCTGGAGGCCCGCGACCTTTGGCGAAGGTGCTGATGATATCATCCACAGGTGGCAACACCTCCTTGCACACCACGTGCATTGAGAATTTGATGGGCAATGTGCTAGGCTGATCCATGCAATCAATCGCACTTGGCCGAATAACCAGGATAACCATGTGGATCACCCTGTGCTGGTCGTCGGCAAAGTGCAAAAAAAAAAAATGTTCGTCGACGGAGGGGCCAGCCATAGCCTCTTCAACTTGGCGATAGCAATAAAATCCAAGCTGAAACTTGACAGGTGTCTGCCCGAAATCGACGCTCGCCTCGTGGATGGGACGCCTCTGGCGATTTTGGAAGAAACGCGGACGGTGCGGATCGAATGCGGCGATGATTTCGGCTTCAGCATGAAGTTTCTCGCGACAACGCTGGATGGCTGCGACGTGCTGCTGGGACGTGATTGGCTGCGACGACACAACCCCGTCATCGACTGGACAACGGGATCGTGCAGCATCAGCAAGCACGAGGGGCTAATTAAATTGCCTACATGGACACCTGACTACATACAAGCCCTGTGCGTCAAAGCTATCACTATTGCTCACCACTTCAATCGAGGCGCGCAGCTGTTCGCCGTATGTTTGCGCGATTTGGCAGCCGACACCGACGGAAAAGATATTGAGAAGTTGTGCGCAGCTGTACCACCTGATTTAGCGGAGCTAATTCGACAGTACCCGGACATCTTCCCCGACGATCTGCCACCTGGACTACCGAGAGACCTGAGGACCACAAGATCCTGCTGGAGCCCGGTGCGCAACCGACCGTTCTTACACAGTGGCGGTTGACCCAACCGGAACTCGAGGAGCTGCGAAGACAAATTGAAGGCCTGTTGGAGAAAGGGTTTATTCGACCCAGTACATCTCCCTTCGCAGCCCCGGTCATGTTCACGCCGAAGAAGGATGGCGGGCTTCGCATGTGTGTCGACTATCGCACGCTCAACCGGGTGACCATCAAATCTCGCTATCCAATTCCACGCACCAACGACCTCCTCGATCAACTTCGCGGCGCTCCCTACTTTTCAAAAATTGACTTGTGTGGCGGTTACCACCAGATTCGGGTCTTCGTCGACGACTGCCACAAGACCGCTTTCGCACCTGCTACAGAAGCTACAAACTCACCGTGGTGCCGTTCGGCCTCACAAACGCGCCTTCGACCTTTCAACTGACCATGAACAGAATTTTCCAGGAATTTCTCGACAAGTGTGTGATCTTCTAATTGGACGATATTCTGATTTTTAGCAGGACAATGGAACAACCCCTCCGAGACCTCGATGCAGTGTTTAAGCGGTTGCAGGAGAACCGCCTCATCACCAAGGGCTCTAAATGCGAGTTCTTTAAGCAGGAGTTGGAGTTTTTGGGGCACGTCATCCCCCGCGACGACATCAAAATCGACCCGGCAAAAATCAAGACTATTCAGGAGTGGAAGTCCCCGACTAACATCCCGAATATGGCGGGGATAACCGGCCCGCTGACCAACCTGCTGCAAAAGGACAGGACTTTTGTGTGGGGGGAGGAAGCTGAGGCAGCTTTTCAGGAGTAGAAGAATTTTCTCGTTTCCCCTCCGGTTTTGCGCATCGCCGACCCATCGAAGCCGTTCGAAGTCGTCACCGACGCCTCAGATTTCGCCATCGGAGCTGTACTCCTCCAGGATTTCGGGAACTGATTGCAGCCGATCTCCTACGAGGAGCTGTACTCCTCTAGGATTTCGGCAACTGATTGCAGCCGATCGCCTACGAGTCACGCAAGTTGCAGTCAGTCGAGCGCAACTACCTGATACATGACAAGGAGATGCTCGCCATAATACACGCGTTCAAACTATGGCGCTGCTACTTGGTGGGCGCCGACGTCACTGTTCGCACTGACCACAAGTCACCACAGTACCTGCGAGCTCAGCCCAACCTCAATTCGCGACAAATTCGGTGGCTAGACTACATGGAGAGCCACTTCACCTGACGCATCACGTACAAGAAAGGGGCGAGTAACATTGTCGATGCCCTGACCAGACTGACAGTTCAATCCGCTGCAGTACTCATCACCCATTCAAACCCGCTCCTTACGGGACTTTTCACCCACGGCTACACTACGGACCCATTCTTCATGACTGGAAATCACCAGCAGGCGACGACGCAGAAGGGGAATTATTATCTAAAAGCCAGAACTGGCCGGGTTTGGGTTCCCGCTTACCGACTGCTGCGTGAACTCCTTATTCATGAGGTCAACGATTTTAACCTCTTCGGACATTTCGGGGTTGATAAAACCCAGAAGCTGTTGCACCGTCAATATTATTGGCCTGATTCTGCTAACGACGTGCAGCAATATGTGTCCTTATGCAGGGTGTGCCAAGCCATGAAATCGACACGTCAGCGGCCAGCTGGGTTGCTGCAACCCCTGGAGCCACCCGAATGACCGTGGAAACAGGTGACGATGGATTTCGCCACGGGACTGCCTGTTGGGCCGTCCGGCAACGACACTGTTCTCGTCGTCGTCGATCGCCTCACGAAAATGGCGCATTTTGCACCGTGTTGTACAACAATCACCGCCGAAGAAACTGAACAACAATCGCGCCTCTTCATCTCGACCGTCGTGCGACTGCACAGAATCCCCGCGGCGATCATCAGCGACATGGACCCGTTCACGTCGAAATTCTAAAAGGAGACGTGGGCGCAGTACGGCACGAAGCTACAGTTCTCATCGGCATACCACCCGCAAACGGACGGCCAGACCGAGCGCACCAATCAGACTATGGAGCAGCTGATCAAGAAAAACTGCCCCGACCCCACTCGCTGGGAAAACTCGCTCGCATGCTGGAGTTCGCGCTCAACAATGCCCCGTCTAGCACGACTAATCACTCCCCGTTCTTCTTAAATTACGGGATAGACCAGACGGTTCCCACGACGACTACACTCGACAACTCGGTCCCGCGGTCACAAACATTTGTGACAGAACTGCAGGAAGTTCGTGAGAAGGCTGCGGACGCAATCCGCAAGGCGAATACCACTTCCCGCAAATACACCGACCTTCTATGACGAGAACTCGTCCTAGCAGCTGGGCAACTAGTGCTACTTGACACGAAAAACCTGCACATGCCTGGCCCGTCGAAGTTACGGCCACGCTTTTGTGGGCCTTTCACAATCATCAAGATGGTGACACCTGTCACCGCGAAGCTGCTGCTACCCGACGATTGGCGTATACATGACGCCTTCCATGTTAGCCTCCTTCGCAAGTTCGTGCCTGCCACGACAGACATCGCGCGCCAGAACGTTGCCCCGACAGTCCGACCTGTCCTGGAACCGACACTTGACCCGTCCAAGATTTTGGCGCATCGTGTTCGGCTCGACGCCTCTGGACGCCATGTGGATTTTCTAATCCGTTGAACTGACCGCACCAGCGAGGACGACACCTGGGTGCCATCCGCATCGCTTGAAGCTTCCCCGCTTCTTAGTGATTACCTCGCCCGCAAGTGAGCTACGGATATTGACCACCTTTCTTAAAGGGGGGAGTAGTGTAAGGAAGAACCTTTTCCTTACTGGGGTTTACTCAACCGCGGACAACCCTAACTTTCGGAAGTGCACGTTCGGCCATTTTGCTTGCTGCCAAAGCAACCTCGCGTCGCCTTCAGCTTTCCTTTGCCCAACCTGCACCCAACCCCGTGTTCCCGAGGTTCACGCCTAGCTAGGTTGACCCACATATTAGCGCGTGCCTTCTTTGTATTGTCAGTTCATTGAGTCACATCTTCGTTATTCGTTATTCCGCGCACTCTCTTTCACAACTCATAACAATTTCTATCCTCGTATTTGACATTCTTCAGTACATTCCGTATCGTAGTTCCGACCTTCCATCTCCGGTCGTTTCGTGTTTATAACAGGGCTCACAACTTCACCCCGCCCACAGATGAACCTCCAATAGCAGTGATAGTCTCGACTTCAGAGTACAAGCACCGCCACCACCTTTGTCCTCTCGCACCACGACGCCCGCGCCTGCCTTCGCCTGAGATCCGCCCTATCCGTCCATATGGCGTCCACCGAACCCCATCTCTCTCCGCCCATTCTCCCCACTTCCCCGCAGTTGCCTCCCGCAGCGCACTTCCCCTCCCCCTCTTCGTTCGCCCCTCCGTTGCCCTCCTCATCTCCGCCATTTCTTCCGCCCCCCGCGTCCCCATACGCGGAGGGATTTTGCTTGGCGTGGCAGCACCCGCACGCCTCGCTTATATCGCGGACATGGTTCGCTTTAGTCAACGTTGCTCCGCCCCTCCTCTTCCTGCTCTTCCTCCTCTCCCGCGTCCGCCCCGCGCTGGCGCAGCTGCGGCGCGCGCGCAGCGCGGGCATGATGGGCGGGCAGTGCGCCGTGATGGCGGGATTCTACGCGCTGCTGTGGGCAGCCGCGGGAACGAACCTCGTGCGCAGCCTGGCGCAGGTGAGGCGCGGAATGGCGCAGGTGAGGCGTGGAATGGCGCAGGTGAGGCGCGGAACGGCGCAGGTGAGGCGCGGAATGGCGCAGGTGAGGCATGGAACGGCGCAGGTGAGGCGTGGAATGCCATTGATGTGAGGGGCGGCCTGGGGAGGGTGGTGGGGGTCAGCTCGGCGGGAGGTGGAGATAAGAGTAGGGAGGTGGGGAATAAGGATGTCCGCGGACCAGCTGGCACTGCGCCAGGCAGCACTGCGCCAGGCAGCACGGTCAGAGCACTTGCGCTGATGCCTTGGATAACAGGTTGCAGCCGTGCTTTGAGGGGTCATCTTCTGCTCCCTCCCCTCATCACCTCATCCCTCTGCATGCTGTGGCTAGTCCATCTCGCTGCTTGCCGTCTCTCTCTCATTCGCCTGCTCGCCCGGCTGGCCGTCTTACACATGAAATCTTCCTTTTCAAACGGTCGAGAGCATGGGAAGCTTTGAAGGGAATGGCATGGAACACCAATAGTGGGCGGAGTATTCAACTCAAGCCCCTCGCTGTAAAAACACACCAACTTACGATGCTTGCTTGGTAGCATCAGCATGGCTCGGAGTTGGCCGGCTCGGTCGAAGCTGTGATGCGCAGGCAGGTGGACGGCTGCGACACAGCTGGGCGAGCAAGGCACTTCACTCTGAATCAACGCGTTTTGCAGGTGGACGGCATGCGCGTTTTGCAGGTGGACGGCATGCGCGTTTTGCAGGTGGACGGCATGCGCGTTTGGCAGGTGGACGGCATGCGCGTTTTGCAGGTGGACGGCTGCGACGAGCTGAAAGGGGCTCGGCTTGGGTCGACGAGACGAGCCTGGATGAGGAAGAAGTTGGGCTCGGCTTGCCACTGTGACGAGCGCAGGTGAGGAGCCGAGCCAATGGCTTGTAACCAGTGGCTGGGCATGTTGGTCTCGACAGAGTGTGAAGGGCTGCAAGGTTGAGTGTGTCATCACAGCCCTACCGGAAACGTGAACCGTGATTCGTGAACCAGACTCTGCTGTGCGTGCTCCATTGCAAAATGGTGCGTGATCACAATCCATCATCAGAGAAGGTGCACACTGGTGACTGGACCCCCACTGCACACTGGTGACTGGACCCCCACTGCACACTGGTGACTGGACCCCCACTGCACACTGGTGACTGCACCCCCACTGCACACTGGTGACTGGACCCCCACTGCACACTGGTGACTGCACCCCCACTGCACACGGGTGACTGCACCCCCAGTGAGGGTATACATTGTGGAAGCTCCTGTGCAGCTCCTGTGCAGCTCTTGTGCAGCTCCTGTGCAGCGAGAATGCAATAACTCAGATGCCCTTGATCATGGAGGCGTATGTGTTGGGGCTCACTGCAAGTGCATCCGTCAAAACCTAAGAAGTATTGTCTATTGTCGTACCTCGTCCATTGTCGACGAGAATTCGCGTCTCTGTCGCGTTGCTGTGGCACTGCGTTCATCCCGACGACTGACTCGCTCCCAGCTTGTGAAACTTCCAGGTTCTCACTTGCAGCTGCCAGTTCGGGGTGATCTATAGCTCGTACACGTCAGGTACCAGGCACACCACATGAGCACGAAACGGAGCCGTGGTTTTGTTTGAGGTGCTTCGGTTACATAACTGTGCACGGGTACACAAGTGTAGTGAGTCATGACAACAAATGTAGTGACTATTATCAACAGACCTGAAGCGGAGTTGTTGTGGTGAAGTGGTGGTCCGATACAACGTGGACGAGGGACTAGATACACGTGGAGGAGGGACTAGATACGAGGTTGTAGCTGCAACGCAATGGAAGCAAGAGCAATGCGATCCGACTGTATCTTGTCAATTTTGAACCCTGGGGAAACTGAGACAGCTGCTGGTTGACACAGTCATGGCGGAGTGACACAATCATGGCGGAGTGACATAGTCATGGCGGAGTGACACAGTCATGGCGGAGTGACAGTCATGGCGGAGTGACACAGTCATGGCGGAGTGACACAGTCATGGCGGAGTGACACAGTCATGGCGGAGTGACACAGTCATGGCGGAGTGACACAGTCATGGCGGAGTGACACAGTCATGGCGGAGACAGTGTGTGAACCAGGAGGTTCAATGAACCAAGGACCTGCGTGGCAAGCTGCCACTCACCTGCACCGAGAACGGCACCCGATGAGCTGAGCTGCCGGATTGGCTGCGTGCTCGCTTGCCTTTTCACATAAAAATCACCCCACCTGCATCCTCCTCACAAACACCATGTACCCCCAGGTTCTCCGTGCTCACCCTCTTACGTTCCCTCTCGCTGCCTCTCCCCGCCCAGCTGCTGCTGCTCTCACCAGATGAGGCTGCTGCGCCGGCCACCAGCAGCGCATGGCTGAGCGGGGCGTGGCTGGCGGCGGGGTGGGTGGTGGGGGCGCTGGAGGCGGCCATGCTGCGCACCGCTGTCATCGCTGCCATCCTCGCTGGCGCTGACGTGGCAGTCAAGGTGAGGCGTTGAAGCACCAGCATGGCCCGCATGGCCAACTATGTACCTCTGCCACTGCAGCCCTGCCCTCCCCCGCTGCCGTCCCCCAACGCCCTCCTCCCATGCACTGTGCACAGAGCCGCCTGCCCATACTCCCCTTTGCATGCCTCTCCCCTTCCTCTCTCTCGTTCCCTCCCTTCTCATTATTGCACCCCTCTTCCTCTCTTCCTCTCTGCGCCCTGCCACCACACCCTCGTGCCACCGCCACACCCCCCGTCCGCCCCCCCTCGCGCTGCGTGCGCCATGGCCAGGCGTCGCTGGTGTTCCACCACGCGCTGCCGCTCTTCCAACCACGCCCTGCCGTCGCCACGGCGGGCGCCGTGTGGCTGGCTCGCCCACGACGCCCTCCACGCCGCTGTCTACGCCGCCCTGCTCTCCCTGCCACTCTCCCAGTGGCGCGACGCCCTCCCTGGTGGGTGGCATTCGCTGTCTTATTATAATGCTGCAGTAGCCGGGGAGAGAGAGGCGGGTGGGTGCAAGGGTGCGGGGAGAGCGAGAGTGGTGAAGGAAGCATGGAGATGTGTGCGAGGGTGAGAGAGTTGGTGTGGTTGATCGTCAACAGTCGTGCCACCCTTGACGCTTGTGAAATTTTGTATGTTGTATTCTCTAGGCATGCACGCATGGCATGCACTCACAGCATGCACTCACGTCATGCACTCACGCCATGCACTCACGGCATGCACTCACGCCATGCACTCACGCCATGCACTCACGCCATGCACTCACGGCATGCACTCACGGCATGCACTCACGCCATGCACTCACGCCATGCACTCACGCCATGCACTCACGCCATGCACTCACGCCATGCACTCACGCCATGCACTCACGGCATGCACTCACGCCATGCACTCACGCCATGCACTCATGCCAGGCACTCACGCCATGCACTCACGCCATGCACTCACGCCATGCACTCACGCCATGCACTCACGCCATGCACTCACGCCATGCACTCACGCCATGCACTCACGCCATGCACTCACGCCATGCACTCACGCCATGCACTCACGCCATGCACTCACGGCATGCACTCACGCCATGCACTCACGGCATGCACTCACGGCATGCACTCACGCCATGCACTCACGCCATGCACTCACGCCATGCACTCACGCCATGCACTCACGCCATGCACTCACGCCATGCACTCACGCCATGCACTCACGCCATGCACTCACGCCATGCACTCACGCCATGCACTCACGCCATGCACTCACGCCATGCACTCACGCCATGCACTCACGCCATGCACTCACGGCATGCACTCACGCCATGCACTCACGCCATGCACTCATGCCAGGCACTCACGCCATGCACTCACGCCATGCACTCACGCCATGCACTCACGCCATGCACTCACGCCATGCACTCACGCCATGCACTCACGCCATGCACTCACGCCATGCACTCACGCCATGCACTCACGCCATGCACTCACGGCATGCACTCACGCCATGCACTCACGGCATGCACTCACGGCATGCACTCACGCCATGCACTCACGCCATGCACTCACGCCATGCACTCACGGCATGCACTCACGCCATGCACTCACGCCATGCACTCACGCCATGCACTCACGGCATGCACTCACGCCATGCACTCACGCCATGCACTCACGCCATGCACTCACGCCATGCACTCACGCCATGCACTCACGCCATGCACTCACGCCATGCACTCACCCCATGCACTCACGCCATGCACTCACGCCATGCACTCACGGCATGCACTCACGCCATGCACTCACGCCATGCACTCACGCCATGCACTCACGGCATGCACTCACGCCATGCACTCACGCCATGCACTCACGCCATGCACTCACGCCATGCACTCACGCCATGCACTCACGCCATGCACTCACGCCATGCACTCACCCCATGCACTCACGCCATGCACTCACGGCATGCACTCATGACTTGCACGCCTCAACTCTCCTCACCCTGCCGGTCCGTCCACTGGCTGTGAGCAGCGCGCCCCGCCTTCCACCGCTACCTGCTGCTGCTGCTGCTGCTGCACTCTGCCTCCGCCTTCGCCTCTCTCCTCCTCACCCTCCACGTGCCCGCCGCCCTCTGGTCAGTGCATGTACTCTGTTCTTCTCACCCTGCACTTTTCTCCTTGCACTATTCATGGCATTTGTTTCTTGGATAGTTGTTTGAGTGGCATTTGTTTCTTGAATAGTTGTTTGAGTGGCATTTGTTTCTTGAATAATTGTTTAAATGCCGCCAAAAACACGCCTTCATGAGCATCGATGGGTCTGCATGCGCATGCATGGATGTGCATTGGTATGCATGCATGCATTTGCATGGGAATGGATGGGTATGCATGGGTGCTGCTGTGCCTCCTATCCAGCATGCGAGGGCTGGCAGTGTGTGTGTACTGGGCACTCTTCCCTCCGCTGCTCTACATCACCTTCCTTGCCGACTTCTTCCAGGTGCCCTCTCCCTCCACTTGCTTGCGTGCCCGCACCCATCCCTACACATATCCCTGCACCCATGCCTACACGCATGCCTGCACACGTGCATGCACACATGGCATTGGGCGGGCAATAAGCCGAGGCCTGTAGATTGAGCCACCACAGGGTGTGGTGCTTCATGTTGTTAACCTACTTGAGCAACGGCTGCACTGCTGACGTCAACAAGCTACTGTGCCACGCCATCGAGTTGCCCACTTGACTCCAATCCTTACCTCTCCCAATCGCCACTCCCATGCGTCTCTTCTTCGCCACAGCATGCCACACTCTGCTGCCTCTGCCGCCACCTGCACTCACCCACCTGCCTGCAAACTCGTTTCTTCCTCGTTCCCCTTGCCCTCCCCTTCTCTTCAACGCCCCTCATAGGACGAGGACACAGAGGTGGAGGATGCATACTACTCGGAGATGAGGGATGCAGGGGTCTTTGATGCCGATGGGGACTGGGACTGACCGTCTGCCCATGCTCCCATGTGAAGCGCCTCCGATTCATGTGCGTGCTCCACATCTGCTCGGCACGCCTCCTGATGTCCCACCAATGTGATTTATTCGTGTATAATGTAAAGTCTCCGCCATTTTTTTTTGGGTTGCGGAGCAACCTATTGCAATCGAATGGACCTAATTTTTTTTCACTATTTTTTTAAATAACCTAAAACACGGTTAAATGAAAAGAAGAAAACTTCGAACAAAGTTGATAATCATACCTCTTATATGCCAGACTTAATTGGGCTTCATAAAAACTTAACTGGCCATGTATCCTTCTGTTGAATCAGTAGTGAAATGCAGTGAATGACCAACCAAAAGATCATTGTATTTCTCCTTGTGTATACCATCTAGTATACACGAGACGTAAGCATATTCATCAAATGAATTGATGAATATGTCTCCCAGTTTTAATTTGAACGAACTAATATTTTGTGTCAGTTAACGAATGAATATTATACTACCGCTTCCCCAGCCTAGCATGGGGGGGAAGTCAGAAGTATAAACAAAACCGTGACAACGCAATACAGTCTGCAAATCCCAAACAAATATCTACACCGATCAAGTCCAGCTGAAAATGGCTTCACTGTCATAGTGGGGCGCCACTCAACCTTTTGTGAAAATGATCGACAAGATATCTCTTCGAAATATGCAGACATGCATTACGGTTGCAACAAAAAGCACAGTACAAACAGAAATGAAACAAAAAAAAATAACTCAAAATCATAATTAACTCAAACAATTGCACTACAAGTTGTACGACAAAATCGTTTCCATCCTGTTACAATCCCAAATGGGACTTAGCGAAGGATCGCCTCAGGGTTGATCACAGAGTAATGTTGCAGCGGAAGTTTGAATCTCAGGTCAGAGTGAATGTAAATGACTGAGTTGATAATAGTATGCATACATCGAGTTTATATAAGAATACAGGGGAATACGAAAAGTCATAGACTAGCCATGTACTCTAAGGGGTACATTCCTTTATTACAACCGAATTCAAACCGTGCGGCGCGGGAACCCGTTTCAAACCTGTTCCCGCTCTTTTCACTTCAAATGTTTCTGCCTGCATCGGTCTTGGTCAGACGGTTGCTGCGTCGCTTCGACTCTTCTGACTCCTCGACTTCGTACTCGGTCGAGTCGGCTCCTGCAGCATACAGGAATGCCTTCTCATAAAACTTCATATCGTAACACTCCCCTTCATTCCTGGACGCGAGTAGAGCTGACTCGCTTGACTACTCCGGTGAGATCAGAGCAGTGCTTGTACTGCTGACGTGGCAGGCGCTTGGTGAGGAAGTCTGCTGCCATCTCTGTAGTCGAGCAGTAGGCGAGGTCAACTTTGCCTTGGTCGATTTCGCCCTTGACGAAAAAGTACCGAAGCGCGATGTGCTTCGTGCGGTTCACGAAACCTGGCTTGTTCGCGATCCTGATGGCACTCTGGTTGTCGCAGTGAAGGCGAAAGGTAGGCGAAGTTGGAATTTTCGCGTCCTGTAGCAACTCCTGCAGGTACAGGCCTTCGCGGACTGCTGCTGTCGCGGCGATGTATTCTGCTTCAGCCGATGACAGGGCAACCAGCTCCTGCTTCTGCGAGTTCCAGGAGATTGGCCCAGTTGGTTCCAAGCGAAAAACGAAGCCGGTTCAGGACCGTCGATTTGCAGGATCAGCTGCATGATCTGCGTCCACGTAGCCGTTGAGATTGAAGGAGGTGGTAGTCAGTGTGGAGTAGGAGAGCCCAATGTCAGGAGTGGAGATGAAGTACTGCAGGGCGCGCTCCAGGTCCAGCTGGTTCTCAGCTACTGGCTTGCGAGAGTACTGCGCCAGTTGGCTGGCGATGTACGAAAGGTCGGGTCGGCTGGTGACAAAGGCGAATAGCAGGCACCCCAACTTCTGCTGGTACATTTGGAGTCCTGCGGGCGACAGAGGTTTGTTGTCCGGTTTGTAGTTGGTGCTGGGGCTGCGGTAGGGAGTTGAGAGTGGTGCAGGAAAGATGTTGAAGCGTTCCCCCAGCTGCTCTGCGTACTTGGAGGCTGACAGATGGATTGCTTCTGGCGCGTAAGTGATGTTTAACCCCAAAAACTGCTTCACTTCGAGGTTGATGGTGATGTCCACGCGCTGCGCCAGGTTCTCCTGAAAATGATCGAGGAGTTTGTTGCAGGTGCCCGTGTACAGTAGGTCGTCGACGTAGACTGTCAGGAGGATGTAATCGCCGCTGAAGTGAAGGCGATACATTCCCGGGTCGTGTGGGAGCTGCTTGAAACCGATTTCGAGGAGGATTTTGTGCAGATGCTGCTGCCAGAGATGAGGCGCCTGCTTGATCCCGTAGAGGGACTTCTTCAATTGACAGACCCTGGGATCACCCTCTCCGTAGCTGTGCGGCTGCTCCACAAAGATGGTGGCATCCACCAACGCGTACAAGAACGCGTTCTTCACGTCGATCTGTCGCAGTGGTAGGTGCTTCGCGGCGGCAATGGCGAGCAGAATCCGGACAGAGGTGTGGCGACTGACGGGAACGAAGGTTTGATCGAAGTCGACGCCGTGGCGCTGATCGTACCCGCGTATGACCCAGTGTGCCTTGAAACGCTCGATATTGCCGTCAGTGTTAGTTTTCAGGCAAAAAACCCACTTCCCGCTGAGCACCCTCCTCCCCTTCACTGCTGCACGATCGACTAGGACCCAGGTGTCACGTGATTCCAGCGCCTTGAGCTCCGCATCCATCGCAGCACGCCACTCCTTGGCGTGAGGACCGGTTAGGGCCTGGCGAGGATTCTTTGGCTCCACAGCCCGTGCAAGGGTAGAGACGGATGTGTGCAGGCCGAAGAGTTGAAGGCCTGACACAGTGGTGGTGTCTGTGTTGGTGGGGACTTCCACCACGTCGTCGTCTCTGCTCTCATAGCCGGGTGCTACGGTGCTTGGCTCTGCTTGGTGCCGTGATGGTCCTGGCGTAGGGTCATCGTCGCTGTCGTCGTCGTCGTCGTCGTCGCGCGGGCGAGGCGGGATGCTGGGATGTTCGTCGGTGTCGTCGCGGTCCAGCGCTGCTGCTGCTGCTGCTTCATCTTCTGGAGTCGGAAAGCTGCGGCCGCTGTTGACGTAGCCGCGTGCCTGGTTGCAGCGCTCGTCCTCGATCCACTGCTTCAGGGTGAGTCGCTCGTAGAAAAGAATGTCACGTGCAGGAACGATTTCCTTGCTGTCGATGTCAAGAATGAGCCATCCTCTGTGTTCGTGACTGAGCCCCAGATGAACTCCCCATCGCGCACGATGAACGAACTTGCCGATTGTTGCCGAGGTCGGCCGATATTGCACCATGCACCCCCAAACCCTCAGCATGGAGGGGTCTCCCCTTGAGCCGGTCCACTTCATGTGAGGGGACAGGTTATCCCTGTTGGCAGTGGTGGAGAGAAGGTTGTGCAGGCGCACCGCGTGGTTCATGGCGTACGACCAAAACTTCTTTGGCAGGCCGGACTGATTCATGATGGCGCGGACTTTGGTCATGACCGTGCGATTGACCCTCTCGGCAACACCTTGCTGCTGATGAGCATAGGGGAGAGAAATCTCATGCTTAATCCCCTTCTCGGTGAGGACGCTCTCCAGCTCATTGCTGCGAAATTCCTTTGCCCCATCACTCTGCCAAATCTTCAGTTTCCTTCCTGACTGGCGCTGCGCGTGCGCGAGGAAGATGCGGAATGCCTCCGGGGCCTTGGAGCGAGCGTCGACGTTGGCGACCCACACGTGGCGCGAGTAGGCATCGATGAAGGTCAGCGTGTATTTTTCGCCGTTGAGTCCGTCGCAGGTGAGCACGATGAAGTCACTGTACACCTTCTCCAGCTTCTTGTAGCGGTTGGTGCTTGGCTCCAGGGAGGGATAGGCGGTGTGAGAAAGTGCGGCTGTAGGGCAGACAGTGCAGGTGGTCGGATGAGGGGTGGTGTGCTGTAATTCCGTTCCGTCGGGGCGCAGTAGTGCTCCTGGTGGGAAAACTTTGGCGCGGAGGCAGTTAGCGAGAGTCTGGCGCGAGGGGTGGCCCATCCGCTGATGCCAAAGGTCATCTTCGGCGCGAATGCCGGAGGTGCGCTTGTAGCGGGCGTGTTGTTCCGCTATTTCTGCTTCCGTGAGTTGCGGTATCCGGAGTGG